ATACAGACAGCGCAGGGCCACGGCTCTGCTCTGTGTCGGCGCGCAGCGCCGGCACGCCACGCTCAGCAGCCGGCCGGCTAGACGGCGCGGCGTCTTCCATCTCCTCCTCCTCCTCGTTATCTTCGTCGCCGTTGTCGTCTTCTTCGTCTTCTTCTTCTTCTTCTTCTTCTTCTTCTTCTTGGGCCTTTGAACAACAACATTATCACGAACGCTGCGAGGAGGCGCGCCGGCATCACGAGCGGAAGACTCGTTGGCTTCATGCTCTACAGCAGGCAGTGGCGGCAAGTGCTGCTCTTCTGTATCGAGCGGAGGCATGAAGTCCGCGAAGTCAACACCCTCTAAATCACCCGAAAGATCATCAGAAGAGTCACCCAGATTGATATCATCGCTCTGGGCGCGCGCGCGACGGTCATGTCGCCAGGTGTGAAGAATATCGTTAAGGTAAGGCGGCATGATGGCTTATATGGTGTTTTTACAGGTTTAAAATCAACCACGTAGTGCTACAAGCAGAATTTCTATATAATCAATACGATAATAATTAACTAAGCGTACTTATATAGTATTTTCATATTATTATCTCGTGCTGAGATTGATCTGAGAGTATCGTTGTATGTATAGGGTGGGTGGCTAGGGAGCGCTTTTAACTAATCATAGTGAATATAGCGCTTTTCCCCCCCCCCCAAGTACGCCGGGAGTACACGCGGGGGCACGTCGCCATAGGGTAAGTAGAGGGCGCTTTTAACACCAGGTTTGAAAGCGCCGCTCACATACCCTATGTCAACCCCACCACGCCTCTATCCCCGTGCTTATCGCGCCCGACGCGTTTTATTTTAAAACACCTATATATCTACCCACGCGTATATTTTTAACAACCTCTTTATTATTTCACCACGGACCTATCTTCATAATGGATCCCTCAATTTGTTTCTAAGATACGTATCTTCGCAAGCATTCTTTTATCCGCGAACGAATTGGCTTATCCGTTCAGTGCCTATTCTATAAGATGTCCTGGGAAGACATCGACGCAGCGAAAGCTAGTTTCGCGGCTGACTTAACAATGCCTGGACCTTCAAGGCCACGCGAAAGAACACCAGCAACACCTCGATCCTCATCATCGTCGGCCCAGACCATCACGATGCCTCATCGTAATACGGTAGCGCCGCCGCCGCCGCCTGACCACGCCGCGTTACGACGCAACCGCGCGAGCAACCTACGCAACCAGCCGCGAAGCCACAGCAACAGCAACAGCGGCCGGTTATCGCCTGCTACATCAACCACGAATTCCGATCGATTGTCGACATATCACGAGTCCAATCTACAATACCAGCCTGACAGCCAGCTTGAGGCATGGCGGCTTACCCTGGCTAACGCAACGAAGTCCGCTATACGCAGAGTAAACGGGAAAAATAACGATAAGATCAACCCGTGGAATCACGAAACAGGTCTAAAGGTTAGGGTCAGGCCATTACACGCAATAGTAAGGAATATCCGGGGCGGCGGTTACGAGTGTCTCGAGGTCAAGCGGTTATATGATTATAATCTGCCAATTATTCCATGGACTACCTTATGTAAAATGGATGGCGAACGGCTAAGAGAAATGATCAAGCAACGGACTCCCTCCTTCGCACACGCACAATCAATTATCCTTGGATGCGGTTGGGACCCTAAGTTGTCGAAGAAAGATAGCTGGGATGGCTTAACGATTGTTCCTGAGCCATTAGATCCCTTCAATGACTGGTTTGAGTATGTGTTCAACGATAGCGACCATGACTGGCAATACGAAGGTGGGAAGCTTGTTCTTTTTGCCGAGGGCCAGTTCGTTAAGCAAGAGGAAGAAGCCACGCCGCAGCCA